GGTGGGAAGAAGGCAACGAGGTTCGGGAGCGTCGGGGGCGGCTTTAGGTGACAGCGTCCGGCGAGGTGGCTCTCCAGGCGGCAGCGGCGGTCGGCTCCCCTCCTCGATCCCGATCCAGTCGGGGGAAGATGGGGGATATTTTGCGCGGGAGTGGGGTGTGGGTGTCGGTGGCGAGTGGGGGAGTGGGTATAAGGGAGTGGGGGTGGGCCTTGGCCCAGTTGGGCAGGCCAGCTGGGCCGGAGCCCAGTGGGGGTGCTTTTCCCTTTTTTTTGTTTGCTTTGATTTTTCCTTTTATTTATTTTCCCTTTATTGTTTTCATTTACTTGTGTAATAGTTTATAGTTTTAGAAAAATGAAACCCACTCCTAAATTAGATTTGTAAAATTGATTGTTCTCACAAAAGGTTTGGGACAAAAGTAAAGCAACTTGTATTCTTTACTAATTGAAAAAGCATTTAAGTTATTGTTTCTGTCGCTGTTTTATTTATTTTAGCGCATCCAAATACTTTTTAAAAATGTTGGTTACTCCACCTTAATACTTAGGATTTATTTCGCTCACCCCGAACATTTTAGTTTTAAATTTTGAAAAACTTTTATTGTTTGCCTTTAATTCAATTTGAATTCAAATGGGATTTGAATCATCACGAGTTTGGCAACAGTAATCGTGATGACGTGGCAACATTAGAAGGGTTTACTGTAGCTTAATTATCCGGGCGTCACACAAAATGCGACAGCAGGTTATTCACTTGTGCAATTTGTTTTTCTTGGGCTGGGAGAACCAGAATTTCATCGGCGAACTGGATCACTATGTAATCTTGATTTGACTGAGAGTTGATAGGAGCTTGAATAATGTTTGCATGCATTACTTCACTGAGAACTGGGTGAAGTAGATCAGCTCATAGGACACAAACGAGTGGTGAGAGGGGGTCTTCATTCCTCACTCCCCTTTCACATTTGAATTGCTTCCCTGACACTCCATTCAACGAGACATAAGACAATCCAGTGGTGTAAATCATTTGATCCAGTTAATCCATCTGGAGCTAAAGCCTGTGGCCTAGAGAATTTGTAATATAGTGTCATGTTCAATCGTATCAAAAGCTTTAGCAAAACCAAGTTTTAAGATTAGTATTTCTTTCTTGGACTGCTGGCACTGGTGAATGTACTCATATGCCCATGATAGACAATCTGGTATGGACTTGGACTTCAGAAATCCATTATTGATTTGTATGAATAAGCTTGAGGATTACTTTTTGTAGCCTATTAGCCAGGAGCTCAGTGATGATATTGATGGAGCTGTTTAGTAGAGAAATGGGCCTAAAATCATGAGGTGTTAGAGGATTCTCTTTCTTTGGAATCAAAGTAATGAAAGAGTTGTTTGTGGGTGGAAGGTTCACTTTCTCATTATAAAAATCTTCAATGAGCTAGCAAAAGTTTTGACAAATGATATGCCAACAAGTTTTCAAAAATGCCCCATTGAAACCATCTGGACTAGGAGCTTTATCAGTAGGAAGATGTTTAACAACCTCATCATTTTCCATTTTTTGAGAATGGTGCATCAAGCTCTTCCAAAGAAATATTTGATGAGAGCATGCTAGAGAGATTGAATATTTTTTAAGTTGGAGAAGTACTACCAAGTCTCTTCTTATAGGCTCTCCATGGAATTGCAGCCTTTGCATTATGATCAAGGTGTTCAGTTTGTTGTACATCATTCAACATGGCAATCTAGGTATTTGTGTACTTGATAGTTTCTTTTGCCTGGAATTTTTTTATGTTTCCTTCTCCAAACTTCACCCGTCTAATTATGGCTCTTTGCTTACGGTATATGCTTTGAAAGTTAAGCAAGTTGTTCATGTGGCTCTTTAAGATAACTCTTCCATTCCATTCCTTGGTATTCAAAGGCATATATTGTTCTAACATGTCCAGGAGAAGAATGGTCTCATTGGAGTTCTTGATATGTTGGGCAAGTTTTGAGATGTTTCTAGACCAAACATAACTTGATCCAAAGTGAGCCAAGATAAAACCACTTTCCTAACCATCCAATTATATGATGTATGATAGTTCATATAGGCCTAGTTATTTAATCTATAGGAATAGACCAATGAACATTCATGCTCTCAGGAGAATGATGTAGAAGGCTTGGGGTCTCCACATGGAGGCTCAATTTAAGGATATTAGCGGAAACATCTTTGTAGTCCGCTTTGGCAGTGAAGGAGACGGAAACACTGGTTAATTAATGGACCATGGCAATCTGACTTTAACATTATAGTGCTGAAGGATCATGAGGAGGATACGAGGCTGTCTGATATGGTTTTTGACATAGTTGAAGCATGGGTTTGAGTCACGGACCTACTACTAGATAAACGCTTGGAAACTTTTGGAAAGGACCTTGGAAATTGTCTCGGGGAGGTGATCAAACTAGATGCGGAGAAAGATGGTTTAGCATGAGGAAAGCACCTCCGTGTCCATGCAACATATATGTAGATGATTCGTCGGTGAGGGATTTCTTCCTTATGTCTTCACCAGAAGACCGAATTGGTACTTGGTTTGATTTCTCATACAAGAAGATTCCGCACTTCTGTTGTGAATGTGGTCGGCTAATTCATGTAGATGGTGTTTTTAGCCATTGTGAAATCTAGCTCCTGGTGGGAGAATGGTTGAGGGACACATGTTTGGGCTTAAGAGTGAATCCAATAAGATGGTGTCTAGCAACAACAACAATTTTGGTAGCTCGAGATCGAGTGAGACCGAGCATGGGAGACACATGCATGCTACTGTCTGAGACCTTCCAACCAAGCATAACCTGTATCGAGAGTTCATGTCCTCTAGTACCACCCGCACTGGCGGGAGTACAGAGTCAAGTAGGATGAGGTCAGTAGCCCGAGTATGTGCAAGCACAAATAGGGGAGAATAAAGAGAAGGACTTGCGACAAAATTTAGAGGATAAATGTGAAAGGGAGATGAGGCATGACCTGCACCAGTGACATGCCCGGAGGAGCTCTGCAAAATAACAATACAACGATCACAAAGATACCCATCACCACCACGTTCTGGTTTGGAGGAATTAGGAAGGAGAAGGAGAAGTACATATGTATGCAGGCCGAGATAGTTTCATGGTGAACATCAACACATGACCTCGAGTTATCAAACTAAACTTGTAGAGAGAAAGAGAATGCCCAAGCAGCTATGGACCCAAAGGGAGCTCTGAATATGTAGATTACTCATGATACTTTCATTGGTGGTAATAGGCAGAAATTGACTTTAGTATCTAGTCGTACCGCTAACAATATTGAGAAATCGGTGGACCCTGCCGAACAGGGCCGCTGTGAGCAATGGATCTTTTAGTGTGGATTTGTTGGGGATTGGGGTTGAACTCGACAGTTGCCGAATTATGTGACCTGATTAGGTCTTATGATTCAATAATGGTTTTCTTAAGCAAAAAAAAGAGAGCTCGGGTACAATGGAGAAGGTTAAGTGCAACCTGGGTTTCAGGCAGGGTGTAGTTGTGGGCTTCAGGCAAATTTTCATTCCGGAATAACATTTAACATGGTAAAAAACAAACTCGTCATTCCAAAAATGCTATTTTCGAAAGCATATTATGAGTGTTATTTTTGTTTTTTTGCCATGACTTCCACGAATGTTATCTTCGGGATGAAAATTTGCAAGCGCCAAAAACATTTGTCGAAGTTTATAAAAAAAAAACAGATTTTTTTGAAGTTTTTTTTTCATTTTTAAAATTTACTATTCACCCAGAGCTCTTTTACGCATTAAACATCCCATGGGCAATCAAAAGCATCAAACAGCCACACCCCACTCTGCTACAGTCTACAGTCTCTAGTCTAGTTCCTGCTGCTACTACCACTGCCACTACCACGGCACCACCACACTTGCTCGCCTCCCTCTGTCTCTCCTCTCCCCTCCCCTCCCCTCCCTCCTATAGCAATCAAACCACCAGCTCCACTCCCCCCTCCCCTCCACCGTCCTCCCCCTCCCCCTCCTGCTACTCCCTAGTTCATGTCCTGCTGCTTCCCATGTCGCCGCCTCTCGAGCTCGACTACATAGGCCTCTCGGCCGCCGCCGGCGGCCGCGCGGACGACGACCTGAAAGGCACCGAGCTCCGCCTCGGACTTCCCGGCTGCGAGTCGCCCGACCGCCGCCCGGTCACCGCCACCACCACACTGGAGCTGCTGCCCGCCAAGGGCGCCAAGCGAGGGTTTTCGGACGAGGTCGCGCCGCCTGCGCCGGCTTCCGCCGGCGGGAAAGGCAAGGACGCGTCCGGGGATGAGAAGGACAAGAAGGTCGCCGCCCCGCCGCAGCCTGCTGCCAAGTAGGCGCCTACTCCCCCTGCGAATTTTGTGGATTTGACTGTTTCATGGTGTTCTGCCGAGTTTTGCGGGATGCGGTGGGTTGGAGCGCGAATGGGTGGATGAAGTGATGCGTAAAAATTTGGGAAAATATGTGGTGGGTTAGTACGAGACGGTGATTTAGTTTGCTTGGAACCTCCGAAAAGCTGTAATTTGGTGGCCGTTGCATGCATTTGAGGGAATTCCGTCTGTCGAGGCGGAAAACCCCTCTTTTTTGGGTGCAAATTTGGTGCCGAAGGGCCCATTTTGCGGTTCTTCCGTTGCTGTTTGTGGGCGCGCGTTTGCACTCGGCTTGATCTATTAGTTTCAGGAGCGTGGAGGGGTAGAGATTCATTCACTGAAGAGTCTTTTTACAATTTTGCTGTGAAATTAGACTTCAATACCCCCCTCCTCTTTTTTCTAACTTTATTAGATGTGTGATTTTGTTCTTTGAAATTTCATTGGGAAACTAAGGAGGGCTTCACATCTGCAAATTTGCGCACCTGGTTTGAATTGGACTAGTCAATTTGGGTCTACCTTTACTTTCAAGGTTTACCAAGTTTGTAGTGCTTTGAGTTGTTTTCCAGGGTATGTTTGGTTTGAACATACCCGGTTGTTTTCAACTCGTGTTCATAACCTCATAGAGCCAAACGAAATGCTGGGTCGGCTCCATTGCCGGTTCTTACTCTGAATGGCCGATGCGCAGGACTCAGGTGGTGGGATGGCCACCAGTACGCAGCTACCGCAAGAACACGATGGCAACCACCACCAACCAGCTGAAGAGCAGCAAGGAGGATTCTGACACGAAGCAGGGGCAAGAGTTTCTGTATGTCAAGGTCAGCATGGATGGTGCGCCTTACCTGAGGAAGGTTGACCTCAAGACATACAAGAACTACAAGGACATGGTTGTGGGGCTAGGGAAAATGTTCATTGGCTTCAGGACCGGTGAGGCTGCTTGGATCCTTGGCAAATTGTTGATGTTTTAATCTGCACCTGAATTTGAATTGGGGTAGAAGAAATGCATCGTTGCACACATCTCATTTCGCTGAAGAAATAACCAATTACTCTGTTTGGAAATGTTCTACTCCCTCCGATCCAAATTAATTGACGCAGCTTTAGTACACTTTACTAAAGCTGCGTCAAATAATTTGGATCGGAGGGAGTAGCAAATTCCAGGTTTATGAAATTGATGAAGAAGACTCTTTTTCAGGGCCGGCTAAATTGGTTATTGTGGTGTAACCAGTTTCGAGGCTTCGCGTCTACATTTGGCCATGCTATTTGTGTGCATATTTGTTTCGCTAGATACCTAGTTTCAGCATATATTATTACCGGTGGAGCAAATATTCTCTTCTAATTCAAGGAACTTTTATTGTGTTTAATATTGTTTGATGAAGCAACTAGCAGTGGACTATGTCATAAAATGCCTAATGTTTAGGCTAGCATTCGCTAAGGGTCTGTAAATAACTAAATATCACTCAATTATTCATAAGCCTTTGATAAACAGCAATTTCCCTATAACCTCTTCATACCCATTTTGTGCTTCAAGGACAGACATCAAACCTACTAATTTAAGAACGTAAATTTCAGAAAGGTGTATATCTAGGACATAAAATTTACCAACATACAATGCTTTGTTTGAGAAATTCAGTGTAAGGTGGTCCTTTGTCCGGCAGTTTTAACCTTACATGTGGTACTGGGTCTAATTCTGTACCAGGGAAGGATGGTGCATCTGAGAACAGAAAGGATGGTGAATATGTGATGACTTACGAAGACAAGGATGGAGACTGGATGCTGGTTGGTGACGTCCCATGGGAGTAAGTACATTGTCTGATCTAATTGGAATAACAACAAGCGTAGAAATGAGAACTCTGGATGATAGTTTGAGTTTTGTAGTATAACTTTTAAAGGATGATAAAAAATGATAGTGTACCAAATAAATGTTTTTTACTAGTTTTCTGTGTATACATACATGCACCCAGATAAAATGAACTCGTTCTCTACAGCAACAGCAGCCATGATTAGAGTATCTCTTAAGTCCATCTAACCTGTTCTAATTTTTTATAGAATGCATGCAGTCATCCTCTTAAAACTCTGACACAGATATACTAATTTTTTTCCACCTAAAATTGTGCCATTAGTTTTAAAAAGCTTTGCTATTAGGAAAAACAGTGGTCTAAGCAATTTATTGGAGATAGCATTGACGCCAAAAGAACCAGTAAAAAGGAACGGACCTAGTAGCCTAGTACTAGCTACTTGGTTATCTTCTTATTATGTTGTAGTTGCTCTAAATTCTATGGTCCTGGTGTTCTATTGCTGCATGTAGCATCTCATGTCTGAACAAGTGAAAGGGTTCTAATGCAGTCACTAACTCACTGTAGTTGTTCTTGTGGCACGTTAATTGTTACAATTCCGTTGTCAAGAAAACCATGAATATCTGATGCATACCTGATACCTCCCCTATGAGCTTATCAAGTGATTGCTTCTTATTTGTAATTGCAGGATGTTCACCGAGTCTTGCCGGAGGATCAGGGTCATGAAAAGTGCAGATGTGATTGGACTTGGTATGTCCAATAGTGCTCCGTTCAGTAATACATTTTTGTTTTAATTTCACTGATGCCATGCCGTGCTTCTGCAGTTATTTTATTTAACCATTTGTCTGCACGTGTTACTGCTTTACTGCTCAAGCTGTTTCTCAGGCTTGCTTAATTATTTGAACTGCACTTAAGCGGGAAAGCGGTTTACTCTTGAAAAAAGTCATTGTACTTGAAAGCTTGTTTAGAAGTTGGAGCTTAAATATCTTTACGGTCCCAGCATTAAATTGAGTGTTAGTTTGCTTTTATTCCTTTTAATTAGAATATACTCCCAATTCTACTCTAGACGAGTAAGAAAGCCTTGTGAGTTTTGGAAGTGTTTGGATATAACCCATTCCTGGTCTCTAGAGTTTGGAGAATGACAATTGTTTCCGTAATGCCATTTGAAGAACAGAATGTTGTGTTTGGATATAACCCATTCCTGGTCTCTATCTATGCTTTTGTTTTGCTACTTTGGAATGTTTGTCCAACAATGTAAGGTTTTAAGTTCACTTGGGTAACCTGCACCATCCTACGTCAAGTACATTTCATAATTCTACCTTGACAGTATGATGTCCAAACTGACTGTATCTGTTCTTTTTCCAGGAGTTACAAGGGCAGGGGTTAAGTCCAAGAATAAGAACTAAAACGGTCGCTGCCCACAGTTTGAAGACGAGGTCGCACATATCGTCTGTACTACTGCATGGTTTTCCTACCCCGCAAGTAAAACCACCCGTTACTCTACTGTTTAAGATTTGCGATATCTCCTAGAGACTTATGCTCTATATTTTGTTGTGCCCACGTTGTTGTACGCGTGTTATTTCCATCCGTGTAAATGGTTGGCAAGCAGTGCGAGAGCTACTGCTGTGTTTGATGACTCCTATGTATTTCGCCACTCTTGTCCTGAACTGGTCGTTCGTCGTAAATGTGAAGGTTGCAAGACTATTATTTACCTGACGAACTCTGCTTCGGCACACCCCCTCCTAGAAAAGTCTACAGATTTCGACGCAGATTAGAATTTACCCCTTTGATAAAAAAAGGGTGACATGGTCTTTTGTACCCAAATCAATCTATTCAATACGTTTGATCTGCAGGCTAACATGGCGGTGGTCTTTTTAAGTTAACTTTAAGATCTGTATAAACTTTTTAAGGGGGTGCAACGAAGGGAAGCAAAACTCCTGGCTTGTTCCAAAGTTTTTGCTGTTCCAATTTGTTATACTGTTTGCGGATCAGCGGGCTGCTGCTTTGTTATCCATTTCTTCTGAAACATAGGCAACAATTGCATGGTGAAACATCTCATCTATTCTTTGCCAGCAGCTGTGTGGCTGTTGCCGGGTGGGGACATGTACTACTGCACACGCCAAAATTATCTTTTGAAGCCGTTCATCATGGTTGTTCCATAGAGTAGTAGTAGTGGTGCTATGGCCTAAAAGGCTTCCTAACACCATCATTCAGGTAGTATAAAATGCGACGGCTATGGGGGTTAATGATGGCTTATCATCCCTTAGAATCAGGCTTTCCATTGCCGGCCAGTATCTTCTTCCTTCCCACCTACAGTACGTAGTAGAAAGTAGAAACGATGCTCCACTTTGGCCTCCTTTCCTCTTGTTTCCTATTCCTCCTTTCCCCTTGCATATCCGCTGGTTGGTTGGTGTGCATGTGAAGCAGCGGCGGGATCAGGATCGAACACTTCAGGACGCTGGGCCCTGTCCTAGTTTATCCCAGAAGACGAATGAATCAGCGTTGGCATGCACTTGCTTGCCTGTGCCTCGTGGTGTTTTCCAGGACAAGTGTGGAGTACTACCACTGTAAACTAATATAAGAGCGCGTTTAGATAACTAAAGTAGTAATTTTTTTGATAAAAGATGGATTTTATTAACTCAAAATGAAGCATCAAGTAGATATAAAGCATGATGAGCACACATCCGGCCTTTGCATAGCTAGGATGCACATAGCCAACACCAACACACGCGCACAAAAAACACACGCTGAGAAATAGCAAAATCATACAAGACCAAAGCTATGCCTAAGCGAAAAAAGCCAAAGCGATCAGAACAACGATCGACAAACTACGACAATGATCATATCCGCATCATCCATCTTTTGACACCACAAGGACAAAAAAGTTCTTCAACAGCAACGCCTTCAGAAAGGAAATGACGCACCAACGTTGCCGTCGCCGGATCCAACAATGAGAGGCCAGAATCTAGGTTTTCATCATGAAAAACAAGTCTGAGCATATATGAGCAATGCCTTCAACAAGGTAACGATGCAAAAACGTCGTCATTGCCAGGAATAACCAACTTAGGTCAAACCTAGGGTTTTCACCCCAAAACTCAAGACTGGATACTCGAGAAGCACCACCAGATCTAAGTCAATCATGTGTGTTGCCATCACTTTTCCACGATCCCAGCAGCTACATGCGCTGGGCTTGAAATCCCGTTGACGCCGCCACTGCACAACCATATCTTTTGCGTCAAGTCACCGTCCATAGATTGCATCTCATCGCCAAAGGCAGACTGGTCGGAGCGAGAGCCGCCAAACCCCGTAAAGGGAGCTTTTGGCTGCATCCCGCCAGCTCGCCGGTTCGAGTCACCGGCGGCAACCATCAGATCCAAAGAGATAAACACTAACAAAGATCATCAGGTGGCCACGACAATCCGCAGGGCACGGATGCCCATAACCAAGTGGATCGCCACCGGAACCCCCAGCTGCCACAAAGCGCCAAGGCTAGCACGCGCGAGAGAGCGCAGCCGCAAGGATGGTACCACCAGAACTTCATGCAGGCCAACGCAGCATGCCAGATCCATAACAGGGACGCCATGATCTGCAGTCATACAACGCGCCGCCGGTCCTCCTCATGCGCACCAAGCAGATACAGCCCATGGTTACTGCAACAAGATGGAATGCTGATGCATGGATCACGCTAACACCCCACACGCGCAGGCTTCCAGATTTGTTTATCCGCCACTGTAGCTACGTCACGACCACTAGCCTGCGACAACCACCACACAGGAGCAGGGGCATCACGAGGACTAGAAAGAACGGAGGGGAGTGGGCAGGAGTGGCCCCGCGGCCGCCACCGGCCAGCCGACGGCCGCCGGCGACGGCAGCAAGGGTAGGGAAGAGGAGGCGGCGCCTAGGGTTAGGGCCGGCGACTCTCTGGTGGACTTAAGTCATTTCAAGCGTGTGATTTAAACGCTTTTATATTAGTTTACGGGGAGGAGTACGCGATTCTACTTTGATGCTGATCAGGCTGGAAACCAGTTAACTAACGAAAAATCGGTCAAAAACCGCCACGACCTGCTGAGCAGCAGGGACAAGATACCCCACATGCACCACTGTAAAGAAAGGCTCATCGAGGTAGCACGTTGACGTCATCATCGTTGATTCTCCTTGAGAACCATCATCGTCTTCCCTTCTCTCTGAGGGAGCGAGCGACTCCGCCTTCCCAGCAGACGACCACCGACGCAACCCAATCCGTAGAGGAAGTGCGAAGCCACATGGAGATCAATGCCAATCACTCAGCCACCCGCGACAGGGGTGACACAATTCCGATTTTGACGAAGTGCTGCGAAGGAGAACTATGCAGGGCTGATGCTGCGGAAAATCAGAAATCACTGAACAAATCACGTACCACTTGTCATCTTGCCACCCGGACCCGTTATCGTAGCTATGACTTTGTAGTCGAGAAGGACCTAAGGATACACTAGAGAAGAGACGACTACCATAATCATGTCGTGACCGTGTCATCTCTCTTCCCATCGTCGTTGCCACATAAGCCATGACGCCTTCACCATCATCTTCCACCGGCCGCCGCCACGACCACCCTCATCATCCTCACCACCCTGAGTCCCTGACGCACCACTCTCCCGCGGTCCTCCTCGTTCCCACTGGCTGGATAAAGCTAAAAAATGATGCCCGTGAGAGGGGAACGACATCAAAATGTCGCCTCCGTCCGATCATCTTGTATTTGGCTTCTCTCGGGTTGTCTCAGGCGGAGATAGGCAGAGCAACTCATCGACACCGGAAGTTACGACATTGATATATGTCTGTCGCCGTCGCTGGCTGCGGCCACGGCCGTAGACAAAAATGAGACTTTCCCCGAGAGTGTCCTCAGCTCAGGCTGGTTATAGTGGGGAGTAACTTAGACTAGTATCATATGCATGACAGTAGTCTAAGTTACTACCTTCATAGTGCAAAGTAACATAATACTAGTGTCATATGTGGCCTCATTTAATAGCTTGTAGACTCATGTTGTCTTGAAAAGCGCTATGTTACAGTAACATATTATGTTACTACTTTTCATTAACTACTTGCAACATAAGCAAAAAATTCTCGAGATGCGTTATGTTACTACCTAAATTACTCCCACTATGACTAGCCTCAAAGAATCCGTTGAGCCAGCACAACCACTTGTCGCATCTTCTCCAGATCCATGGCATCTCTGGGCCGGCAAATGCAAGCAAGCCGACCTAGCTCAGTGGTAGAGCGCGTGGCTTTTAACCACGTGGCCGTGGGTTCGATCCCCACGGTCGGCGTTAACTATGGTTTTTTTAAACCCTTTTAACCCCGAACACTTCTCAGCAAATCAGCGTATCTCCCTCCGCACTTGCTTCCCTGTGCCTTTCTGCTGTTTCCAGCAGATACTTCAATATCATTTACTGAATCTTATTTCATGACAAGTGGCAACCACGCCGACCTAGCTCAGTGGTAGAGCGCGTGGCTTTTAACCACGTGGCCGTGGGTTCGATCCCCACGGTCGGCGACTTGTAATTTTTTTGATTTTTTCTTTATTTCGACCTGTTCATTTTTGTTCAGGCAGGACCACTGCCTAGTAGGATATTTTGTTCATTTTGGAATCCTTTGGTGAAAGATCCCCACGGTCGGCGATATTTTCTAACTTTCCCGACTTGTTAATTTTTGTTCGGGTAGACTGCCTAGTATGATGTGGAATCCTTTGGCGTGAAAGGTCCCTTTGTTCCTCCGTGGTCCTGCCCTGCCACTGTACGAGTATGCGCTAGCTAGCATTACTACCATCCTAGATCAACCTTTAATCTTTTCGTGCCTGATAAAGCTAGCTTAGTTTACTAGTAACGCAATGCCAGCGAAATGCCGTGTTCCTTTTGTTACGCCACCATCCATTAAGATTTCTTGCACCGCATCTTACATAATACAGTACTTACTACATGGCCATGTCTGTAATCACCGAGCTCATGCTCTGCAAATGGTTATCCCGATATGACGTGGTACGAAGTGGGATCGATCACCGGACCGGACGGACGCATTTGACATTTGCTTCGAGTCCGTCACCGCGATTGACGCCTGTAAAATTTGTCCACCGCGCGCATGCGCTCTGAACCAGTCTGAACCCAGAGGCAGGAGGTGGTGCGGCAGTAACTGCCCCCTGCTCCGACGCAGCGTCAGAGCCCAGGTGCCGCGCTGTCGCCTCCAGCACGAGCGCGGGAGGGCCGAGGGCCAGGGCATTGCCATTGCCTGTCTCGCCATGAGTTGCTTTTCGCGGGCACAGTAGTAGTACCGGGGGGTGTAGTCGTGGTGGTGTAGACGTCGTACCCTTGTCTCGGTTTCCGGCGACCCTGCGGTTTGCTTTGCTCGCGCCGTTAGTACCGTGCGGCATCGTGCGTGG